AAAAGAACATTCAAAGGCCCTTCAGAATGTGACCTCAGCCCCAACTTTGCAACCTAAGCTTCAATGTTTGTCAACCTGAACCCCGTGTTCTAGTCGACAAGACCATTCGCCATGCACTCTCTGTGCCTCGTGCTCTCCAGTGCTGCACCTTTGCACAGTCCATCCCATTAATAGGTAACCCCCACTCCAGACTCTACACCCCCAGTCCCACTCATCTTTGAGAGCCTGGGCCAGATGCCACCTGCTTCAGAAAGTCTCCATCGCCCAGATGAAATCTCTCTGTCTGCTCCTCCCATTCCTCTTGCCCCTCCTCCCAACTCTCTCAATCTCTCTCTTTCCAGCAAACTCCACGGGCACTTACACAGCCAAGTACAACAGTGATGAGTATACCTCCTGATGACTCCAGACTACAGGGGCCAGAATGAGGTCTTACCCATCCTTGGCTGCTTCCAGCACTGTGCCTTTTTCACTAAATACCAGCTGCTTGGATAACAATGAGAGAGAAGGAATGGAAGAAGGAAAGAAAAGGTGTTGAACTATAGAATCGCAGGCTGTTAGGGTCTGCAAGAGGACTCAGAGAACTCCTAATTCAGGTGAGGAAGGTGTGAGGATGGGCTGGTGGTCACTGTGAAGAATCTTACCAGGTCCTCCAGCAAGGAGCCAAGAGCTTCTAGGGACCAGAGTGGTCAAGAGCCTCATGGCTTAGGCCTGAGTCTGTCCCATTCAGGGCGCAGAGATATCAGCCTGGGCTCCTTACACAGCATGGACGATGCCTAGGAGTTGAAAGAACTGGAGTCTCACCCACCTGTCCCAGCTCCCCTCAGCAGGGAAGGGCCATATCTCCAAAACCCCTCCCTGATTCTCAAGCTTCAACGCCATCTGCTGGCCACTGTCAGCACTGCACCTAGATGCAAAGCCCCTAGGACAGGCAGGGGACCATGGTTGAGACCATGCCCAAACCCGCTCCCGATCCAGAGCACTTGTGAGGCAGCAGAAAGCTCAGGCTTCTGATTGCTTTCCAGAACCTGTCATTCAGGATTTAAGCTAACATTCAAAATAAAAAGAAAGAAGTAAGTTCCTTTCTGGTAATACTAGCTGAGAAACTTCCTAGACACAGACACACAAATATTTCCAAAAGGATTTCTGACACAGAGGAGTTTCGTTACACAGGAGACAAAGCACTGGGCTGGGAATCAGAAGATCTGAGGTCTCCTCCTGTCACTTAGATTTCCCTCCCTTAGCTATGTGGTTCCCTGCCCCCCACATAGGTACACAGGTACACAATCCCTGCCTAAGCAAGTCCCTGTGCCAGGACAGTTCCCCTTCACTTGCTCTGGTCCAGGAATTTGGACTGATCCAGAACCACAGGTAAATCATGGGGTTCAGAAGAGTTGCAACCTCACTCTCATTTCCCACCTCCATGTTGGGGACACCTGTTAGGGCCAGTCCTATCTGCCTGGAACAAGGATTGGTCTGAGGACACTAGTTGACCCTCCAAGGTCTCTGCTGATGGGAGGGGCCCCCAAAAGCACAGATGAAATCAACCAGCACAGGCTGGAACACAGTGGCCTCGAGCTCCTCTCTAGCTACCCCTCCCTTCTCTTTGGTCTGAAATTTAGAGGCAGCTATGCAGTCTTTTAGTTCCAGAAAACCTCAGACCCCATTCGAGGACTCAGCCCTAGAAGGAAGATGGTGATGCATGTATGACAGATCAAGTTTCCTTTAACCATGCTTTTGAAACCAGGGACAAAACAGAGATTTCTACTGAGGGCCCCAAGGCAGTCTTGGAGCCCGGGAGCAGTAGGGCCTGCTCACACATCTTTCCGGGGAAGGAGGGGCGGGGGAGAGCTACTCCTTGAGATGTGTCAAGGGTGGGACTTGAGGAGGAGGGAAGTGCAAAGTGAGTGACTTTCCCCCGCCCTCCCCCCCCCCACCCACCCACCCAGCTCCCCACCCGGCCCCTTTCCCCCCCCCCCCCACC